CACCTCACCACCATACATTTCAATCTTCCCATGTAGACAGACTGATGGAGGGAAGGCATTGCAGGCTGCTATTTCCTATTCCTCTAAGGCTCTGGAAACCAAGGCCCAGATGTGTGAATGACTGAGACGAGATTGGGGGATTAAGTGGTTGCATGCTGTGTTCATTTTCTAAAGCTGTCCCAACAAGTGGCTTATAAAAACAATTGTATTATTTCAGACAAAGATCTAAGGCTAGAAGTTCTGAATCAGGAAGTTGTTTATTCTTTCCGATGGCTCTGAGAATGTATTCCACCCTTGCTTTCAGGGATGGCTGGTGATTTTAATGTTTGTAGATTCATCACATCTGAATGTCTTACCTCTGTGTCTCTGCCTCCATGTCTGCTCTCCTTTATAGCTAGGCCATTCCTATTGGAGTAGTACTCACCCTATTAACTGATAGTATCTTCAAAGAGCTTATTTCTAAACAAGGTCACAATCACATGTACCAAGGTTCAAAACATCAATCTGCTTAGGGGATACAGTTCAATTCAGAATAGATGCCATAGACAAATGCAATAGGAAATGGAAACGCACGTGGGATTCCAGGGGCAGGAGCTAGGCTCGACTAGAGATTGGGATATAGCTGGTGTGCTTGGAGTTGCCAGTCTCCATGTGTGGGAAGGTTTATTTTGGGTGCTCCACAGTGGAACCTTATTTAGTGTATTTATTTCACTTCTTTTCATTCCTCTGCTGATGTCCAGCGCATCTGAAAGAAGGAGAATTAGCTTGAGTGGCATTTTGAAAATGTAGCAATTAAAAAAGGTAATCTTAATCTCTGTTTTGCCTTTAGATTCATAATTCATAATTAGCAAAATAAATGTGAAATTATGCTGTCCTGCAGAATGCTGAAAATAAAATAATTGAGATAATATTTTGTGCTTTTTTACGATTAGAGCCAAGAAGAAATGGGAGCAAGTAAACATGGAGGTTCAGAGAAGAGAAAAATGAGAAAAGAGAAAAGAGCCGGGCATTTTCTGATTTACAAACAAAAATGAAAATACAAAGAAAGAGATTTTCAAGTACTCCATACGATATACTGGATAGCCAAAGATGATAAAATGCAAATTCTGAAAATAAGATGCAGGAAGTACATTGTGCTCTTTCAAAACTGATAAAAATGCAAATTGCAAACAGGTGCTTGTGTATTCATATCGGTCTGGAATTCATTCGATGCATTGCCACAAATGTTTAATAAAATTTAAAAGTTTGACAATTCAAGTTATTCTTTAATTGTATACCAAGTTCGATTGCGCAGATTGAGGAGTAAAATTGTGCCATTGATCTTTATTATGGAATATTCTTTTGGGAAGAAACCTCATTTTTTTCTTTATATTTTAAGATGAGCCCTCAGTAGTGCTAACAGCTAGCATATAAACAAATCTGATGAAGCCTTGGGTTTCCAGCTTGGGGATGAGTGTGTGTTACTGGAATCCTAATAGAAAACACACTTGGACAGAGTCTAGGAAGAGACAAAGGTTGGTTTATTATGCAGGGCACTTGTGAATAATGTTTTTAATTGACAGCTACAGACTCTTCTACTAAAATGTACTACACTCAAAACTGAAAATAAACTTATTTCAACTATGGAAAAAATTTTTGTATTTAAAGGAGGGGGGTGGGGTGAATGAATCCATGAGATCCCAGAAAACATACTGAAATTTTGGGGCTTTAAAAACTCCAGAAAGTTAAATTGCTTTAAACAGAATTATTTCCCTTCCTTTTGTACTTGGTAGTGCATTTATTTATTCATATCCTTTGTACATGTATAGCTTTATTGTGTATTTTGAATAATACATTTTTAACTTCAACTTTTAATTTCAATGTGAACCAGCTGCAGAGCCACTGAAACAAAAACATTAACAATGTATTCTTAAAACTTCACAACAAATGTAAAAGAAATAAAATAGCCTCCAAATGATGTTTTATATTTTTTGAGTTTGTAGTGTTTATATGTCTGAGTTTATTGATTATTTAAAACTGCACTGAGACATTGGGTTCCCCTATATTTTGTATGCCTGTGTGTGGTTAGTGGTGGCCTATGAAGGAGCCCTGGAGTTGCAGTGAGTTAAGCATAGAACTGCTAATCACAAGGTCGGCCATTCAAACCCACCAGCTGCTCTGCTTCAGAAAGATGAGGCTGTCTGCTTCTATAAAGATTCACAGTTTCAGAAGTTCTATGGAATCACTCTACTCTATGCTATAGGGTGAGGACGAGTCCACATCTACTTGGTGAGAGTGGGCTTTGGTAGCTTCTTGCTCAACATTTATTGAAGGGAATAAGGGCTCTTGGAAGTATCTTATTTTTAGTATAAGTTGTGATTTTAAATTGTAGGGTCCTAGACATAGTTTGTGACACCTAGTGGGACTTTGCCTACTGTGTTAGTCTGGGTGCATTAGAGAAACAAATCCCCAGAAACGCATGTATAAGAGAGAGTTTTATATAAAGGTTGTGTGCATCAAGAAAACACCCCAACCCAGTGCTGCCCAAGCCCACAAGTCCAACATGAACCCATTAACCCATATGTCCAACACCAATCCACAAAGTCCTCCTCCATCTCACAAAACACACGCAATGATGCCGACGGAAGAAAGAAAAACCAATCAGTGAACAAGCATATCAGCACTGGCAGGGGTCTCCACACGGCTGCTCCAGCACCCAGGGCTGCATCGGGGTAGGTCCATGCAGCTTCTCCTTGGGGATGTCTTGCAGGAAGTCAGTTTTGCAAGCTGAAGCAGGGAACTGCTAAGGCAGCTGCACCCTGGTCCGACCATCACAAAGCAAGAGACCTGAGAACTAGAAAAGTGAGGCTCACTGAGCCATTTATCCCTCTGCCCTTCAATTAACCCCACATGTGTTTATTGGCGAGGTTGGCACAATAAACGATATCACCTACCTACTTTCAAAAACATGGAGGAAGCAGGGTGTATTAGATAGCACATTTATTTTTACAAGGATAGTGGACAGAGAAGAAAACTGTGCTAGCAAGCTCTCTGAGTGAAATGGATTTGAAGGTAAAAAAAAAATAGCTGTGTTAAAAAGCTGTTTAGATGGAAGAAAATAGAAAACTTCATTTAATTTTAACATGTATGTCTGTCCAAGACTTCAATCTATTATAATGAGGGAAAGGTTCTAAGAAAAAGGCAATGCAAGATTCTTTGCTTGAAGGGCAATCATTTTATGTCTCTTGCATGCTAAGTGTTGAAGAATCATTCAAGAGTGAGACCTTCCTGAAGGAGAACTTGGTGTGATAATTCTGAATGCAGAAATCTATTATTTCTGAATAAATGGAAATTTTCATTATGGTAATATTTGTCTAGAACACCAAGACACGGTGTCATTAAGCAAATCTGGTTTTATATTTATGATTTAAGGGAAAGTAAATATCTTTAAGTGGGGATAAACTACTAACCAAGAAAGAAAGTTCCAAACCCCCAAATAAGGAAAAATAGGAGATGGCAAAGATAAAAGGGAAACCCCAAAACAAGAAGCTAGCAAGAAGCTCTCCTCTGAATATACAAATATGCTGTGTCCACAAAAATAGTCCATTTCGATGTTAAGTTTCATGATGCCAGTCAGGAGCAGTTGCCTGACAATGATTCGCTATGCCTTTGATGATTCACTTTTCAACATGTAACAGTAATAGTAATCAAATAGAAATATCACTTATTGGAATGCTTAGCAGGTAACAGGACATACTCCAAGTGGTTTACACTTAATAACATATTTAATCTTGCCCCCAATCCTCTTCATTGTACTGACGAGTATACCCAGACTGTATACATCTCTGGTGTCGCTGAAAGTTAATATACTTACCTGGGCTGCTAAGTGTAAGGTCCATAGGTCAAACTCACTGTCTTTTCCTGGAGAAAGATGAGACTGCTTGTTTCCATGAAGATTTGCAGTTGCAGAGATCCTGTGAAGCAGTTCTACTTTATCCTAGAGGGTCTCTCTGAGTTTGGGTGAACTTGATGACAATAGGTTTTTACATGCTCACAAACGTACATATGTGTATATATGTGTAGAAGTATGTGTGTGTGTGTGTATACAAGGAGCCCTGGTGCCCGTGGGCTATGCACTGAGCTGCTAATCACAGATTGGTGGTTCAAACCTACCAGCCAAGGGACAACAAGGAGGCTGTCTACTCCTATAATATTTAAAATCTCGGAAACTCCAAGGGGCAGGAGCATTTTGTCCTACAGGGAAGTTATGAGTCAGAATTGACTTCGTGAGAGTGAGATATGTTTGTATATTTCTTCCATTAATAGGTGCCAGGAAGCAGGGTGCCAAATATCTTTAGAGGATCTTCATTTTGCCTACCAGGGATAGTTTTCAGAGACATAATATTAGTAGTTATTTCTGTATCAGACACATGAAATAATCAACTTAAATATTATACCTCCCATAAAAAATATATTGCTACAAATGTATTCCTACAATATAGAAATGTCCCTGTGTGTTTCTGAGACTGTAAGTGTTTATGGGAGTATAAAACCTAATCTTTTTCCCAAGGAGCAGCTGGTGACTTTGAACTACTGACTTTGTAGTTAGAAACCCAGTGCATAACTACTATTCCACCAGGGCTCCTCTGTGGACTTCTTCTAAAAGTTGATGAAGCACTTAAAGCACTCACTTGTCGATTGCAGGAAATTTGGATGATAGCTACTTGGAAAATTATCTAGATGATATCACTATTTATGCCCATTCAAAATAAAGGTAACAACAGAATGAACAAATTATAGAACAATATCATTGGTATCACAATGCAAGTAAAGTTTTGTTGAAGATCATCGAAACATAGTCACAGCAGTACATTGACAGGGAGCTGCCAGAGGTTCAGGCTGGATTTGGAAGATAAAGTGGAACAAGCAATATCATTGCTGATGTCACAGGGAGCTTGGCTCTAAGTAGAGAATATCAGAAAGTCATATACATTTGTTTTATTGAGTATGCAAAGGCATTTGACTCTGTATATCCTAACAAACAGTGGATATCCTTGAGAAGAATGGGAATTCCCGAACATTTCATTGTGCTTATGGGGAACTAGAATATAGACCCAGCGACAGTTTTGTGAACAGAATAAGGGAATACTGCATGGTTTTTTTGTTTTGTTTTTTACTGCATGGTTTTTAATCAGAAAAGGTGTGTGTCAAGGTTGTATCCTCTCACCATACTTTTGCAGGTAAGGGAAAAATCATCAGAGAAGCTGAATTTTATGAAGACAGCAGAATCAGTAGTGGAGATATTAAGAATCTGCAACTATGAAGATGATGTAATGTTGCTTGCTGAAAGTGAGGAGGACTTAAAGCACTTGCTGATGAAGACAAAGGATTGCAGCCTTCAGTATGGATTACTACTCAGTGTAAAGACCAAAATCCTCACAACTGAACCAATAGGTAACATCATGATAAGTGGAGAAAAGGTTGAAGTCAAGGATTTTGTTTTTGTTTTTCTTGGATGCACAATCAATGCTCATGGAAGCAGCAGTCAGGAGAGCAAAGGATGTATTGCATTGGGCAAATCTGCACAACACCTTTCAGAATGCTGAAAAGCAAGGATATTATTTTGACGACTAAGGTGAACTGCATCCAAACCATAGTATTTTCAGTCACCTTATATGCATGTGAAAGTTGGACATTGTAAAAGGAACATTGAAGAATAATCTATATTTATGGTGCTAGCGAAAAGTACCATGGACTTCCAGAAGACCAAAGAATGGTAACATCATTTCCTGTGTTTTGTGACATGGTGTCAGAACAATCGCTGGGAAAGGAAGTCATGCTCGATAATGTAGAAGGACAGTGAGAAGAAGGCCTTTGACAAGAAGGGTTGACAGTGGCTGCAACAATCGGCTCTGATATAATAATTCTGAGGATTCCCCAGGAGCCAGTGATATGATGTTCTGTTTCACTTAGGTTCACTACGAGTTGGAACCAACTGGAAGGTACCTAACAACAACATGATTTCAAAAAAATTTCAGCTAGAAACTCTTGTGTCCACTAATGAGAAAATTAAGCCTAGAGGGTCAGCTAACTTGTAAGTGTAGAGGCAGGCTGGTCCCATCTGCTTTCCAGGCCCAGCCTCTCACTCCATTAGACTGACTAAAATGTAGGTTATAAATAAGCTCTTCTAGCCCCACCTATTCAAAACAATGCTAGATGCCTCTGCACCAGTGTGA